TACTTACTTACTTACTTACTTACTTACTTACTTACTTACTTACTTACTTACTTACTTACTTACTTACTTACTTACTTACTTACTTACTTACTTACTTACTTACTTACTTACTTACTTACTTACTTACTTACTTACTTACTTACTTACTTACTTACTTACTTACTTACTTACTTACTTACTTACTTACTTACTTACTTACTTACTTACTTACTTACTTACTTACTTACTTACTTACTTACTTACTTACTTACTTACTTACTTACTTACTTACTTACTTACTTACTTACTTACTTACTTACTTACTTACTTACTTACTTACTTACTTACTTACTTACTTACTTACTTACTTACTTACTTACTTACTTACTTACTTACTTACTTACTTACTTACTTACTTACTTACTTACTTACTTACTTACTTACTTACTTACTTACTTACTTACTTACTTACTTACTTACTTACTTACTTACTTACTTACTTACTTACTTACTTACTTACTTACTTACTTACTTACACCTGTTATCCCTCGTGAAGAAGCATAGGAAACCCACCAGCATTCTCTATCCAACTCTTTCTTGGACTATCTTTTTTAGTTGTTTCCAGTTGCTATTCATTCTTTTCATGTCTATTTCCAATTCCCGATACAGTGTGTTCTTTGGTCATTCCCTTCAGGATTCCAAGTCAGGGCTTGCTTGGTGATGCAGTTTGGGGATTTCCTCAATGTATGTCCTATTCTTTCACAGCATCCTTTTCTAATTTCCTCCTCACCCGGAAGTTGATTTGTTCTTTCCCACAGTAAGCTGTTACTGATGTCATTCAGTCAATAGATATTGATTATCTTGCGTAGACAATTGTTTATAAATACTTTTACTTTTTGATGATGGTTGTGGTAGTTATTCAGGTTTCAGCTCCGTACAGTAGAAATGCCTTGGCATTCGTGTTGAAGATTGTGACTTTGATATTGGTTGTCAGTTGTTTTGAGTTTCATATATTCATCAACTGTAGGAATGCCACACTTGAAAACAGTTAAAAATTTTGCTATTATTATTCTAAATGAAGTTTCTTTCAACCTCTAATTCTGTCATTCTCATCAATTCGATCAGTGTTTACGTAATTTCAAGAAGTAGAAATATAATTAAATTGTTAATCGGTAAATCTTACTTTAGAGCTGTAACAATCTCTTTTGGAGTACTTTCAAAATAAGTATATAGCCATTGGAATACATGATTAACCACTCGAATAGTAGTAAAGAGAATGAAATAAATCTTACAGATTCCTCTCTAAATTATGATAATTAATTGAGATAATTGTTTCATAACATCCAATCCTGTTTCTTTGTTTAGTATTTCAATTTTAAGTGTGCTGAAGACGATCCAAAAGATAATATGAATTTCATTGAATACTAGACACCGTAATTGCATTAATTTACTGATGATAAACCGATATAGGTATTCATCTTCAGTGATTGTTAAGAAGTTCGCATAAACAAATGAAATGAAGACCTGGAGGTCAAATGAGCTTTATGTTTTAAGAAGAAGGTTAATTATTTTCTAACTAAAGCTGATGGATTTTGTTTCAAAATCTAATGTACATTACCCTTTTCTTTTTCATTCGTGAGATTTTTTCATTTACACGAGCCGCTTAGAATACTTGTATTAACTCATATCATAAATGAATTATACCTACTTATGGCTAGACATCTGAATTTGAAAAATACCGTTGATTAGTAAATTTGATCCTTAATAATAGCATGGAAATTTTCAATCGGTCTATCACCACTGATGCTCATAGACCTAAATAATATATCTATGAATAAATATTTCCCGGTAAGATTCTTGGTAAGTATACTAGGTGTATCTTATCGGTCCTTAGTTGGTTTGGAGTAACCACTATACGAAAAAATATATTTCAGCATGTTTAAAACTAAAAATAATAACTTGATAATTGCTAAGTATTGAGTTATGTTCAAAATTTGTGAACTAGATATTGATTGAATAACCGCCATTTCGTTCAATTAAAATAGGCACTATTTATCTAGTTTACTCAAATATTATCATATCTTTACTTCTTATTCACATGACAACTTAGTAGTATAATATTTAGTGATTCAAACAAACTGATATCATTGTACCAATAATTCAGCTTGTTAAAACAGGTTGCAAATTGAACAACGAATATACTATGTAAAAATATTAGTCAGGTTTTTTGTTGCTATAGTGATCTTTCTTGTATAATTATTGGCTAGAACTTAGATCATTTTATTATTCTTATCACTAATAGTACACTTGTCTTCCTATTATCTATTTGTACTTTTTTACCGATTGTTTATGGTTGTCATCTATTTCATTAACTCATAGATTGCCTTGATTGGCTGAATAGTTTTATATACCTTCATAAATATTCATACATATTCATGTAAATAACAATGATAATCTAATCGCTTATGTGATCTTCCAAACCATTAATTATCATTTACGGTCTTTTTTTCCTGGCTAGATAGTAATATCTATCACTAATTCAATCATCAACATGAGTTTGAAGCTCTAAAAGTGTAATCATTTATCCCTAGGCGTGAAGTCAAACCTTGTTAATGTGAAGAAAACAAACAAGAAATCTAGGAACAAAACTTTTTAGTTTCTCAAAACGTTACTCGATAATTTCAGCATAGATAATGTTATGTTCTACAAAATTTTATACATAATCAATAGAATGATTTGGTGAATGGTTCAGATAGAGAAAACACGATCTATTTGTTAAAAGTTCATTTTGTAAACTCATAAGTATATGTATATTTATTCTTTCTTAGGTCTACCTAGACTGAATACTTTTAGGAGCCACCCATCTTTATTATTAATACTATTACTTATACAAACATTGTTACTTGAACGATTAAAAGGGCAGAGTACGTTCATTCTCTCAACATTGTTTTTATTCACTAACCATATGTTTCATGTTATTTTTATAGTTACTATTATTATTAGTAGTTTCATTTAGTGTTATTGTCTTTTTTTCAATCACCAGACTACATACACTGATCAAACCTCTGATTTATTGTACCAAATTAAAGAGACTATATCCTTTCTCACGAACATATGCACAATCGAACTATGTATTGCACTACATTTTTTATTAAATATTATTGAAGTATCATCTGTCTTTTGTTGTGTTTTTTTTTTAAATTTTTACTAACAATACTGACACTAAGATGACACATTGAACTCTTTCACATGTACATGTAAGGTAAGTATTATAGTCTTGATTTAGGATAATATAGACGGTGAGGATCTAGTTTGGAACAAGTACCTATGACTTTGAAATGTATTTTTGTGATATAGCCCAACTTCATATAGTACTTTTTACCTAGATAAACACTAATGATATGACTCATATATGGGTTAAGTGGTAATGTGGGTAGAATAATTGTATTTCTCGTCATAAGGATAACTGAAAATGTTTATATACATGGTTAAGAGATGGGTGCGAAAACAAAGTATACTGATCCCCTATTTTTCTGTTATATATATATAATGTTTATAGATCGCTATCCATATGTTAACAAATAACATCTTACACTGTGAATAAGTTTATCTTGTCACAAAAAATATACTACAATTTAGAAGACAAGTAAACTGATTCGTAAAGTGACAGTATTTGCTGACAACTTAACCCTAGGTTTTAATACATTTAAGTTAAAACAATGAAGTAGTTTTGTTTAAATAACTAGATATATCGTATTATCAATCTATGGATAGCATTTTGTGTTTTAAGAGATTAACTGGCTCAAGTGTACACAAGTACATAATCTTTATAGATAGATACACAGAGGTAAAATGTCATACTGTTTGGTTTGCGGCTTGTGTAAGAACGCTGATGATGTGCAGAAAGTCGCGTAGTACCATAATGCTTACAAGCGATTATCGAGGTTTGTCCATTGTTTATTAAATGTAGGGTTTCTTCAGTTTGGAATGGAGTTTTCCAATTAATGAAATTCAGTTCTTTATATTCTGACCAGTTAATAATTATAGTATCATCGATATCGAATTAATATGACCAGTGAGTGTTTCATTTAGTTGTACCCCATTAATGACAAACTTGTGTTTAAGAGTAGACAATTTCCCTCTCGGAGAATACAACCGACAAAATAAACATTGTTGTTATTTTGGGGTACTTTTTTATTACACATGGGTGAGTGAAACTGAGAATCGTTGAGTACCTCTTGCCAGTTCCTTGCTTACCATTAGTCCATATATTTAATTATTTACTTACAAATCTTATATATGATCAAGCGTGCCTCTTGAATTCCACTGGTATCCATTGTCAGAATACGTAACTGACACTATTATTAATACTAATAATGATCGAAAAACGGTTAGTTTTTATATGAGATCGTTTCCAACAATTCACAGAAGTGGAGAAACGCTAAGTATTCTAGTTACAACACGTTGCATCAGTAAAGGAGATAGAACTATTCTACTTGAAATCGAGATAAATCACTTGTATTATCTTTAAGGGTCCCTATAAAGTGTATCATTGTTAATCAACAGAACTATTTATACAACCAATTTATAAAACACTGATGTTCATTTTGTTTACTAAACTTAAAATCTAAATAAACGAGATAATCGACTGATTGTAAAGTTACCTATTGATTTCCAATAATCGGATAACCTTCAGATTAAACATGAATTACTTCAATACATACTATTGATAATTAATCACCAGCAGAACGTCTATGATCAATCCTTGACTATTTTCATTTATTAAAATATCACTTAATGACCTAAACCTATATTGATGTAATCTAAAATCGTATTTGTATTATACTTTGAACAAAAAGTTACTACTCTTTCTTCTCCGAGTACATTACATAATAATGTTGCCTAATTGGTAGAGAAGACAAAACAGACTATGAATAATACTCATTATTTGTTCATATAAATAATATATATGCATAAATGATTGTATAAATGGTCTTATTATGATATCTATTCGATGAACAATGGAAATTCATTCTAAGAATTCAACTATTCAAAATAATGAAATTCAATGTTTAGTCTATTCGCATACATCAAAACATAATTCATTATTTAAAGAAAATACTACAATAAATTTGAATAATACAAATTTAGATTTCAACTATAAATTGACCCATTCAAAATGTCATAATGATACAGTTCCAAATTTATATTTAGATAATATGAATCAATTATCTGATCAAATTATTAATCCACAATTACGTAAAACCGCTATTATTGACATTTGTAAATCTATTGATGATAATAAATTGGATATAGGCTATTTTATTTATTCACGTCCAGGTATTATAGCTGCATTACTCTTAGAAATTGTACAACATTATCCAACTGATAAAAGTATATCACTTTCATCAGAATCATTTGAAGTAAGTGTGTGTGTGTGTGTGTATGTAAAAATCAACTCATATATCATTTAATCTTTTACCGTTAAATAAACAAGGTTTGTTAATCATCATTTATAATTAGTTTTTCTCACTGAAATCATGTGCTTCTGTGGATATCAAGATTTTATTTAAGTCCACTCGATATCTTGTGTCTATCTATCAAGTAAGAAAGCGAAGAACTCTCGAATATTCTTGATTTTAACTTGGCTAACTACCAAGGAAATTGTTCGGAAGTTTATAGAGCGATATGCCAGTATGTTTGATGCAACAAACCCAATGATACACATAACAGGGATTCAGTGAAAGTTTAACTTATTGAGTTGAACTAATTTAGTTACAAAAGACCGTTGTAAAAGAAGCAAATACTACCTTTAATCCATTTCGTAGAAATAAATATTTAAAAGGACTGTAGTGTATTCTACTTAGATTTGTCGGCATAATTAGCATGTAACATCAATCAGAAGTGGGAGCCCTGTCTTTAGAGGGCTAAGAAGTTCTAGTTGAAGAGAATAGGAATGAATTCTACAGAATTTGAAGTATATATGATAGATATTTGCAAACGAAGTATTTAATGTATGATTCTCATGTTATACCATGAGATTCTTTAATTTTGTGTTCGAATGTAATCTGTTGTACTCACCTATGTTCTTGTTCACAACAAATTTTTATATAACCGGATGAACAAGGCTAAGATAAAGCCAGAAATAATAATAACCAAGACATGATTGTTTTCAAAACCGGAGTACACAGGTGATGTCACTAATAGAACTGTGTCGGTATATTGGGAAGTCTCAGCAGAAAATGTATACTATATTCAACTTGTTTACCCCAGGATTAAATTTAATGTTTTTAGCAGCTGTAACTAAAGATAAGACATGTTAATCCATCTTTTATATCACTGTACATGTTCACCAACTCCGGTAGAGCTAGTTATATTGGGAACGCAAGTTGAAGAATTCGTTGTACAAGGTGGTTAGACAAAAATTGCGATATATAGACTTTACATTAACTTAAATATGATGTCTTCAGTGGGCAAAATGGAGTATTTTTAAGATTGAATGCTTATGTGAGATATAAAAAAGCTCGTCATAAACATTAAAAAACCAGACTTTCTTGATCAGCATTGTTTGAAACTTGGAACGCATAGTTGTGTGTCATATTAGTTTCGATGTTGAACGAAAAAGATTTTTAGACTGGCAAATCATTGAGGCATTAGAACTAATGTTTTCATTCTTAAGCGGGCAGTGAAACAGTTTAATTGAACAGGGCAAATATGTAGACTATTATTTAATGGTCAGCATGGGGTTGTGGAGATTATTAAGTTGCTTATTGAGATCATGAACCGATTGATGTTAGACCACTATTAAAAAACTGAAAGCACTGGGTGACCGTTTCGTCCGTGAATGCTCACGGCTGAGGAGTCCCACAATATCATGTGATGGGTCATTGAACCCATATTTTAGTAAGGTTAAAGAATGTAAAAATGACTTCTTGATATCATTCTCATCATGATCTCTGACGTGAATTCATGAAACCGTTTTGATCCTAGTGAGTCAGAAAACTGAATTATAGTGTAAATTAAAAACTGACAGCCATCTTAATCATTATATTTAGTATTATGTAAATAGATGAATAAAATATTCCCGGAGAGGATACATTTCAATCTCAGAAATTAAAGAAACGAATGGAATTAAACTGAGAAAATTGAATAATGATCAAGGGTAAGTTATCAAAACACTGATTAATGAAAGATTCCCTACACACTGAGTTTCAGAATGAGTAAACAGTTATGTAGTGAAAACTTGTAAATGCTTGATAACGTTAGACACTGATTTTCGCAACCTTTAAACATGCAAATTGTCATATAACAGTGTAACTGATCATGTAGCAGTTAACAAATTTATTCTGTAATATCTCCGTACTTTCTATGTTATAAAACTCATTTATTTGTTGACGAAAATCACAAAACAATGAAAGCGCTAGTTTTGGACCCACATACCTCAATACCCATGCTGTTACTATGGGAGCGATATCTTATCGGTTAGAGAAAACATCTTCAAACTATCAGGTATCTGGTTTAAAGCTCACTTCACCTAATTTAGTCTGGATAGCTAACTTATATCTCCAGCTCTCAGACATATGCGTGTATCTTAAGACTGAATACATGAATCAGCACATTTGGTAAATAAGTAATATCATGTTATAATTTACAAGTCTAAAGTAAAAGAGAAAATGTATTCTACCTTTAATATTACAGTATTCAAACAAGTACAGAATTTAGATGGATGGTAAATAATGTGTACTAACGCATTGAGTTTAAGTATAATAAATTCCACTTATCGCATGAACAAACTTAGTGAAGTTACAATTTTTCACTTATTACTGATCAATATTTTTTGATTGTTCTTTTTTTTTAATTTTTCTCCATTTCTGGTGGGGGGGTTTTGTTCTGTTTTTTTTTTAGATTATATGTTCAATAATTGCAATATTTCAACAAATTATACTTAACAACAAATTTCGTTCTGATTTTATTAGCACAAATCTTTTAACATATTTATTACCTTATTTTAATATTGAAAATCAAACTGACGAAACGGAACATTTACGTATTAGTTTATTAAGTTTATATGTTACAGTAACAAGTAAATTATCAATTAATGAAATAGAAAATTTTCTTTTACCAGAATTAAATATACATTTCAATAATGAAACAATAAATGAAAAAAGATTAGAAATAATCAATAAAGAAATGAATTTGAATTCTATTCATAATACATATTCTAGTTTAAATGATTTATTTAAACAAACATTGAAAGCATTAATTCAATGTCATACTGAAATTGGTAAAACAATAGCACTTATTTTATTAGAACGTTTATTGAATTGTTCAAAACAACGAATTCGTCTTTATTATGATTATCATTTATTTAATGAATTAATTTTATGTCTTACACAAATAATTCAATATATGGTAAAAAAATTCACTATTGAAATACAACAACAATTTAAGCATAAAATTTATTTATATAAACAATATGATAAAATAATATTTATTAAAGCTAAACGTTTATTACAATTTACATTAGAATGTTTTAATCAATTAATGATTGATTTGAAATTACGTAATCGATTACGTCATAGTTTACCTATTGAATTACGTTCTAATTTATTTTCTGTTATATTATTACATGATCAAGATGTTCAATTATGGTTAGAAAAAATTTGGTCACAATTAGGATGGAACAAAATGAATTAAAAGAATGTACATTATAAACTACTTTATAATATAGTACTTTAATTTCATAGTTTAATGCATTTTGTTTAGTAAATACATGTGTTGTTTTTTTTCAGTTGTATACTGGTCAGATTTTTGTTTAAATAAATAAGGATTACAATTGGTTATTAAGTATTTTAAATAAAATAAATCAACTTTTAATGAGGAAAAATATATTTGATCGATATTGTCATAAAAGTAGGATGATTGTGTGGTGTGTGTTAGTGATATAGACAGATATAAGTAGTATGTATCATCAAACGAAAGTGAAATACCTGGTGGCAGTAGGTGGAGAAGACTGAAGAGAATAGAATGAGAACAGAGGATGATTGAAATGGTAATGTAGGAACAATCAAATCTGAGACAATTGATAGATATTTTGCAAATTTTACTAAGAGATTTTGTAATTTTGTATTCAGATATATTTGACTGTCTCCACTGGTGTTCCCGTTCACAACAATGATAGCACCTATAACGTTTGATTCATTGATTCTGTAAGGTGGATAGTTTCTGACTGACTATAGAATTTTTCACACAATTTTCCCAGTGGTAAAATTAACTTAGACGAGAACGAACATAGCAGAATAATATGAATAGAAACATAACGTGGTGTTAATTATTCCAAGAAATAAACTGTGTACATACTTTTTATTAGAAATGTTCTCATCAATGAGGATTCATAAAATGGTAGTAATAATATCGAAGTTCTAAAAGGGAATTTTAAGAGGATAAAGACAGATTAATCACAAAAATATTAAACGTTACGTAATAACAGCAAAAAGGATTGATTATTAGATTAAAGTGAGTGGAGCTCAAATAAAACCTAAGAAAGAATGAGAAAACTGAATTTCCAATTGTAGATACAAATTGTTGAGCAGCACATTGAAAATTGAGGTCACCAGGGGGATGTAAAAGTGATAACAACATCGTTATGAATGTACGAATCCGATTTAAGCTATTTGATTTATGCAAAACATAAAGTTGGAGATCGTTTGTTTATCAATAACTTCGAATTGTTTTAAAATCTCAACTTTATATACAGTATTAGGTAAATGATAGGCAGTCACAATATTGAGAGCATGTTGACCTCTTTGTCTCAATTTCCTTTCCTTCCACTACTTGTGCTTCGTCATGTTAATGTAACTTGATATACACAATTCAGAGTAAGGTAACAGGAGTATTACCATTCCATTTTTCAACGAGGAATTCATTTGACCAATTAAAATATTTTTTAGGGCCTATCAAGTTCTTTTTAATGCAGTCCTTACTTTAGAATCATTCTTCTCAGATATTTCCTCACCTTTGAAATCAAGTTGTCTTGATACAAGGTTTCTCTCAACCGTATCATACTCTATTACCTTCATTCTTGTAGTTCAATTTTGTTAAGATCATCTTTAAACTTTTACCTGAAATCTAAATATTGTTCCAGTATTTCGCCTCGCGAATAAACTATTTTCTTTTTACAAAGCGGTCTGAATCTTTCTTTTCATTTAGAGCACAGCTCAAATGTTGTCTAACACTAGAGCTTTAATAATTTACTTAATTATGAGGAGTTGAGTTTAGAGAACTAGTGGTGAGTTAATCCCTGGTATATAACTGTTAGAAGGATGAAGAAATATAATTACAGGTACCTTAGGAGTGCCAGTTGTATCTGATGAAATCATCACATTGAAGTAGAGTAAATTCATTTAATAGTAAAAGATTTGTATTATTACTAAGTGATCAGCAATTATCTGTTTGAACGAAAATCTTCATAGGCACCAAGAGATGCACTACATAAACACGAAGGCTTCCTATTCCGATTCAATGTGAATATCTTTCATTTGAAGTAATGGGATCATGAACCAACCACCTTTCTAAGTTTTTCAGGAAATTTCAACAGTAATTAATGAAGGTAACTACTAAGATGAGGTACGTTAGTAGAGGGGAAGGTAACAGTTTCTATATTTTGCTAATGCTTATAAATCTATTAAATCTAAGCTCAAAATTGGTATACATTAATGGTAAGAAGCATTAAGTGACCTCTTAAAACATACTAACACTCAGGTTTTTTTAATTTTTCATCTTTTAACCAACAGCTCTGTCCATAAGTTATTTTCTCATGGATTTTTTCTGAATTGTTGACTTTGACCATCTTATTTTACACTAATTAGCGTTTTTAAGCGAGTTAGTTTTCTACAGGATCGGGTTGCTAACCCCTTGCCCAACCCTCCTCCTTTATCCGGGCTTGGAACCGGTAGTAGCCACAGAGAGGCTCCAGGCGGAGTTAATTACTTTATACACAACTATTTGATTGGTTCTAATGTTAAATGAGAACATATTTGCAAGAGCACAATTTTATTGTATAAAGAGTAACGAAACAAGTTATTAATATGATTATATTAAATATTAATTCAATAATCAATGTTATTGGATAGATGATATTACCTTATTTTGCACATACTATTTTAACAAAATTTTGCAGTAACTGAGGAATTTTTCCATCGTAGACTAGTCTTTAACAGAACACATATAAAACTACATTAAAAAAATACGCATGCAAAATGCAATGGAAATGCTTGCTAATACCTTTACTAGAGTAAATGGTTGTAAGAAAGAAATTGATATTAAAGTTTTTCCGTTGAAGATAAGATGGTAGATAGATCGCTGTTGTATAACGTCATTTCAATATTTTTGCGAAGCATCCGTTTACATTTCATGCATATTTTTTTACTGGAAATCTTAGTTTTTGACTAAACACGTAGTATTGGATAAATGGAGTGTTATTACCACTGAAGTGTTACGGACTCAAAAACTTTCTTACTCCATCAAATTCCAGCCTAGATTATCAGATTGTCTTAGTTTCATGCTTGTGTTATTGCTAACTATTGTCGACTGTTTTTGTTATTAAACGTAAGTGAATTCTGTGCATTCGCTAGGTCGTAGAATCACCTTTTCCCTTGTCCTCTTTTTTTCAGCTTTCCTCATGCACCCTCCCCTAGTACCCAAAATATCTCCAGGCTAGATGTGAACTACTAAAGAAGATATATTTATAATGTTAACGATCGATTGATTTATGTTAAAATGGTAATAACCATGTTTATATTCATGATAAGTTGATTTTTTTTTCAATATTTCTAATTGTAATTACTCACCTTGAGGGTAACTAAAACACACACAAAAATACTGAGCACTTAAAGACAAATAATAACTAAGGTAGATAGGTTGTTACATTGTAAAAAAAAGTGAAAAAATATTTTGCTAGTGACAAATGCTTTTCTCCATTGTACATGAAAATTATTTTTCACTTAGGCATGTGTACATATGTTACTACTTTCTTATTCATCTATCTAAGTTTATACAAGTAACCATGTTCATACACGTTACTATTATTATTATTATTGTTAGTTTAATATGAATAGAAACTATAGTGTATACTGATATAGAAACTGAACTGCATATGACCTCACAGTGTACACCTAAATGAAAATACGTGGTATACAGTGTGTTTTTCTCAAATTGTTGTCATTTTGTTATTGTTTAGCTTTGCTTCTAGTCATTTTTTTCTCTCTGGTACCATTTAAAAAAAAAGAAATTATTATTACTTCAAAACTTATTTTATCATTTAAATTCACTCGCTACCATCTAGCTGAATTATTGTTAATGTCAAGAAAGAATAGTAATTCTAATGTTCATATCTATCTGTCTTGACAACGAAGTTTTTTTCTTTTAAAAAAAAGAGCAATTTTTCACCAGATAACTTTGATGAACACAGATCAATAAAATTATTCAATTGTGAACAACGAGAACAATTTCTCACATTTAAACAAAAAGAAAAGAAAACCTTCTATTAGTTTATTAACATTTTAATTGAAAATAAACATAATTGAATATGGATTGTATTTTGATAAGAATTAGTCAATAGTTGATAGATGGTTGTTTCAAGAAAATAAGATGCGAATACTATCCATAATTGAACATTTACTTATCTGTTTGTGTAATTCGAAGAAACAACATTGTAAAATGTAATGCTAACTAATGGAATTAAATACAAAATAAAATGTATTATACTTGCTGATGGTTAAGTTAATGTTAGTTTTAATAAAGAATGTCAAATATCATATAAACATAAATAACTCATCCATTTTTTGTGAAGATTTGTTACCTCTGGGACCGATGACTCATAGTTATCATAGAACCAGAGATTGAAAGATGTCGATTTAATCCATATAAACTTTATTTTTGTTATTTTTAATAGTTGAGATCATGAGTCAATTGAAGCCATACCACCATGAAAGACTTGAAATTACTTGACGGCCATTTCGTCCCATCGCGGGACTCCCCAGCAGTGCGCATCCACGATCCCGCCTCGCGAGATTCGAACACAGGACCTATCGGTCTCGTGCGCAAACGCCTAACCTCTAGACCATTGAGCCGGCCGGGATCCAACGGTGATAATGTCTAAGTCCAACTAATCCATGAGATTGAGCGACACATTCGCCAATGTCGTCAGTGAGTTACTACCTCGCAACAGACCCGGTTGAACTCCATTGGTCACTGCTTGTCACTAGAACTCCAGGAAATACCTCTTGAAGCCAGTCCACTAGTGAGAATATGTTGATTAGTATCAGAAAAGATTTTGTGGATATTATTGTAATGTTAATAGTTGAGATCATGAGTCAGATGAAGCTATTTGTTGTCATCTTGACGTATAAAATTAGTTGTAAATAATTCAAGAGATGGGGAATTAACCATAAGCTTTAATTCTCATATTCTAATGTGATAATGTAACAAATATATTTGTTCAGCTACTTATTATTTAAAACAAGTCAATGAATATCTTACATATTTTAGTGACTTGACCTCAGAATATTTAGAAATAAGTAAAGGAGCACAATGTTGTATGAAACATTATTTTGTGTGAAAATATATGAATGTGAACAATTAAGGATGAACTGTAAAAATTATTCTCAATTAAATTAGTATTCATTTTGATGATGTAT